AGAAAATTTTTTTTAGTTAATTCTTCATTATTTCAATTGATTAAAAAAATTAAATATTTTAATTAATTGACTGAAAAAATTAAAAATTATTATGTTTTATTATAATTTGAATAATTTTTTTTTGTTAAGTTGTATAATAATTAATTTTTTCTATTAATTTAATTATTTAACGAGATTAAAATTATTAAAATCCATTTTAATTCTCTTTATTAATTTAAATAATTTCAAAATAAAAAAAATTATCTGTGAAAAAAAAATACTAAAATAATAAATTAATATAATTAATTTACTCGATTTTTCAAATATTCAAATCAAAAAAACATTTTTTACTTAATTTAATTAAAATTATTTTGAGTTAACTTATTTAAATTTGAAACAATTTGCCGCCTTTTTGAATTAGCCAATGAGAGCGCTAGTGTTCATGTCACGTGATTCGTTCGCGAAATGCCGCTGCCATTTTGTGTTCAGTAGTCGAACAGAGTACAGAGGGCGTAGTGTGTGATTCATGGCTGTAAGTTTTTACTCATTTTGCATAAAAACAGCAATTATTTTGCAATTTTTGGTAAACTAAAGTTGTTTTACATCAGTTTGTGAATAAATTTCATGAGTGATTGCAAAAAATATCACATTTTCGTGAAAGCTTCGGTCTTGCGTTCTGTGCCGTTCGACATACAAAAAATGATTTCTTCAATTCGAATCCGTTTCGTTTTTATGGAATCGAGTGATTTTCTTGTTAATCGCAAAGTGCAGTTTATAAAATATCAATTGATTTTTGAATATATGGGTATATTTTTATCGTCCGGCTAGTGATTGTTACATATGGCATTGTTTAGGCGCCATCTTGTTTTTTCTGTTAACAGAAGTTCAACAATCGCGACGTAATCCGCTAAAATCGTCTCAAACTTATTTACTTTTTTTGGGGAAAATAAACGTTATTCGTGTCTTTTTTCCCGTTTTTATTTAAATTTTTCACTTTTCAACTAAATTAATGCGCGATTTGCAAAGTTATATTTCGTAAGTTTTTCTTGTATAAAAGTGTTAATTTTACAATTTCTAAAACGTTTTGATAAATTGGAGTAGTCTGTCATTATTTAGCGTGTAAATTGGAGAATATTAGTGAAAAAAATATAATATTTGAGTTAAAAAAATGCCAGGGCGTTCTGTCTTTTGATAATTGTCGTTCCTTCTTTTTTATTTGTCTTGCTTTTTAGAATTCAGTGAATTTGTTAATCGACAAGTGTTCGCGAAGTACAAAATTTATTTTTTGTTTAGTTAACTAACCGTAGTTGCGTTCATTATTCAGTGAAATTTTATACAAAATATCCAAATAATAGGAAATAAACAAGCGACTTTATTTAACGTTTGATTATATGTAATATTTTCTATTTTATTTGTTTTGCTTTTTTAGAATCAAGTGGATTTTCTTTGTTAATATTGACAAGTGTTTGAGAAATACAAAATTTATTTTTTAGTTTGAACATAAACGTTAGTTGTGTTTTTCCTGTAAATTTTTTTTCAAAATTTCTATCAATAGGAAATTTACACGACTTTATTTAATTATTGACACTTTTAATTGCATAAAAATAAATAAATTTATAGCAAAGAAACCTTTAAAAAATATTCAAAGTAGTGTAAACATTTAAAATAATTGTATTTGAAGTGAAGAATTGTACTAATCTTATTATAATTTTTTCAGATATTTAGTATAATGATGGATGGATTATAAGGATTGAACTTATTTTGGATATTATCTATTTTCAATTTTATAGAAGTGAAGGAATTTTGCAGTATAATTACCAATTTTCAATTTTACCCTGTAAAAAAATAGTATTGGGAGGTACGGGATTCCGCATTGCGAGTGCCAACCTGCTAATGCGGTATTCGCGAAATACCGCATTGGGTGTCGTGGTGAATACGGAAATCAAGGGGTCCCAATGCGGTGCAAGTTTTAAGCTTTAAAAAAACGAAAATACTTGACAGGAGGAAATAATTACTGTCAGTGGAGAAAAATGCGAGTTAAAGGAATAATAAAATACTAATAGCGAGTGTAAAATTGAAACTTTAAAAGAAAAAGTTTAGATGAACTGTAAAATATGGGCACAATGCGGCATAGGCTGATTTCAATGCGCCACAGCACAAGCAACTTTGACTGGTTTGAATGACGTGAAATAGGTAAACAAACATTTTCTAACACATTTGTCTCCGTACACAGACACTTCTCACTAAATCTGCCAACGTACAATTGGTAAAGCATCTTCTAAATTACAATAATCGAAAATATTGTTTAGATTCATGCAGAAACGCGGTTATGAAATGAAAAATTGGAAAGTAATGTAATGTAAATCATATGTCAGCTGGGCCACTGTGTTCGCTCGATTCGCTCTGCTTGCTTCTACCCTCTTCTGGCGACTTGCACAATGTACCGATTGTGTACCGCATTGAAATCAGCCTATGCCGCATTGGGCCCATATTTTACAGTTCATCTAAACTTTTTCTTTTAAAGTTTCAATTTTACACTCACTATTATTATTTTCTCATTCCTTTAACTCGCATATTTCTCCACTGACACTAATTATTTCCTCCTGTCAAGTATTTTTGTTTTTTTAAAGCTTAAAACTTGCACCGCATTGGGACCCCTTGATTTCCGTATTCACCACGACACCCAATGCGGTAATTCGCGAATACCGCACTGGCAGGTTGGCACTCGCAATACGGAATCCCGTACCTCCCAATACTTTTTTTACAGGGTATGGATATGAAGGTGTTTTAATTATAAATAATTATCAATATACGATTTCATGGATATAAAGGTACTGTGAATAACTTATTTATATTTGGGTTATTATTAGAAAAATTTACTAAAAGCTTATGTTCTCAACAATGTTAGTAATAATACAAAAATCGCGTAATATAAAATTAAATATAAGCTACAAAATCATTTCGAAACTCGAAAGAAAAATTTAACTGCAATAGAAATTTGTGCAAAATGTTTAAATAATTTTGACAATTGAAGATCCGATTTTTGAGAATATTTTATAATATTTATTGTTTATTTAATACTAGTAATATTGCCTGCAATTATTGTAGGCAATAATAAAATTGGTCTAAAATACATTTCATAATTTTGGTTTTATAATGAATAACTTTTTTGTCATAAATTTTCTACATTTATATTTTCTACAAAAAAAATTCAACTTCTAAAAAATATTTATCCAAATTTGACGACATTTTATTATTATAATACTTTACTATATACTGAAAATTGATGTTGTGAAAAATACTATGAAAATTATATTTTCAACATATTGTGAATTTATATGGAGAGAAAAATTTTGATTTTGAAAACAATAATAATATTAAAACATATTAATGAGGAATTAGATGCAAAGCAAATAATTAAAAATTATTAGTCGAAATTCGTATTTTCAAATCAAAAGCTATTTACAATTAAAAAGCTTAAAACATTATTTATAATTATAAACTGATGTTTGATTTATAATTATGAAAATTTTGGAAATTATTAATTTTATTTTTTGTACGATTCCTCTTTAAAAAGAGATGAATAAAAATAAATTCACGAAGCATTTGTAAAAATGATTTTGTAAATGAAATAAAAAAAACAAAATGTACTCAGAAATTATTGTTTAGAAAAATATATTTTAGAAGGTGAATATTTTTCGAAAATAGATATTTTCATAGTGGATTTTATTTAAAAAAATATATTCAAAAAATTTAAAATTATAAAATTATTTTATAATTATTTCCATTATTTTTTTAATTGCCCTACAATTTATTCATATTTACCACAACAACAATTTTGCTAATATTTCTAAAAATAAAATTGATTTGTACACGGAAGAAATTTTAGTGCATCATTTGCGCTGCCTATAGTACAGTTGTTGTATCAGTTATTCGGCGCACGGTTACCCTGTTTTGGCGCGTCAGATGCACGAAAATGGGACGTATGTTATCCGTATAGGTGTATTATATCGTCTGCTCTATTAAATAATGCAGAGGGATCACTAAAAGGGTGCGCCTGCTGTCACAAAACTGTGGGAATTTACTATTTAAATATTTATATTTTCAATCAGAAGGGTTTCCCACTTAGCGTGTTCATTCAAATAACTTTAAAACACCAAATATTATAACTCAACAATTTATTTATATAATATTAACTCGTGGATCTCATAGAGATATACAAGACGTCTGTATATAGTACTGTCTGAATCAGAACTGGTAACTTCCTATAGTTACGCACTCATACCATACATACGTTTTAGCGCGATTCTACATTCTCATTTCGAAGAGTGGGGAATGAGTGAGGTTAGCCCTGCAGTGGCAATTCCCCACATACTCCCCCCCGAGTGTAAACGATAATATAAAAAAAATATATTTATTAAAGAAAATATAGTTATAAATATATAAAAATATACTTCTTTGTATTTTGAAGAGATCATAAAATTAAAGCGTAGAATCTATCACAGTATCCTAAAAAAATAATTACTTACGAAAATTTCCTTTTAGTAAAACACTATGTTTTACTTCTCGAGAAAAAAATTTTAAAATCTTTTGCTGGCCGGACAAAAAAATCTCAATATTATTTTTAAAAAAATGATACAGAGTATCATTTGTCAAAAAGAGTAATCTAAGTTAGATTAATTACATGAACATTTTTCCTTTTTTTAAATTACATATTAAATTTTAACTAATTTTTCGAAGACGGTTCGAATGAAACTTTCTTTTTTTTTTGTTAACGTAAGTTCTAAGTGCAGGACGATTCTGCACTTGTTTTTCAGTATTCTTGTTAATCGTAATATTTGGTATCGTAGAATTAGATTGTACAGTCGGGTCCCCATACTGTTAGATTCCAAACTGTTATGTCCTCAGTAGTGTTATGTTTTTGCATAACCTCCAAATTCAGAAGTGTTAGGTGACGTCACGTTACGTCACTAATTTTCAGGGCCGTATTCTTAAGACAAAGGAAAAGGGTGCATATACTTCTAGGCCAAACTTGAGGTGTATATATTTACGTTCCTGGAAGGTGCGCAGTAAGCATAATTTGAGCACATAACAGAGCTGAGTCTGGAGAAGTGGGAAATTTCTGAAAATGTAACAGTATGGGGACCCGACTGTACATTATTTAGACTATTATTCGTTTCGTTATTCACAATAAGTGCGTCGTATCTAATAAAATACGCTGGCTTTAAATTTTCCACAGAAATTTGTTTTTTTAAGCCATTTACTTCAACTTCGAATACTCTATCCGATGTTCGATTTATGACTTTGTGAGCTCCCGAATACGGAGGTTCGAGTGACTTTTTTATCATGGATTGTCTAATAAAAACGTGAGAACAAGTGTATATATTTTTATGAACGAAAATCTCTCGTTTATGACGGTGTTCAACTGGAATTGGTTTCACATTACGCATGTGTTCTCTAAATTCCTCTAGGAAAATCTGCCGATTTGGACTAAAATCCTCCGGAAGGATTAATTCTCCGGAACCTTTAACGTAGTACCGAAAACGAATTCGGCTGGCGATGCTCCAGAGTCCAACACATTGTTGCGTAAACCCAACATAACTACGCAGAGAATTTATCCACTGTTTGTCCGAATGACACATTATTGCCGCCTTTAGCGTTCTGTGCCATCGTTCCACCATGCCATTAGAAGCCGGGTGGTACGATGTTGTTCTAATGCGCTCAGTACCAATTAATTGCAAAAAAGCAGAAAAAATTCGTGATTCAAACTGGCTTTTCTGGTCTGTTGTAATAGTTCTCGGCGAACCGTAACGCGATACCCAACCGTCCATAAACGCTCTACAAATTGTCGTTGCCTCAATGTTTTTTAAAGGAATGGCTTCGGGCCATCGTGAAAATCTGTCGATCGCGGTAAGACAATACCGGTAACCGTCGCAAATAGGGAGTGGGCCGATTAAATCAATGTGCACGTGTTGAAATCGGTTCTCCGGCGCGATAAAATGTGATGGTAAAAGTACAAACGATAGGGGTGTGATCAGTACCCCAACGAATTTGTTTCAGGTTAAGAGAGCTGTTGATTTCCTTCAGAAGAGTTTGGAGTTCAAAATCTTCCCCTTGAGCCTGCGCTAATTCAATCAAGCTAAAATCAGATGCAAAAATAATAGCGTCCAGACGAGATAAGGAATCTGCAACTACATTTTCCTTACCAGGTAGGTATTCTATTTTAGTCGTGAATTGTGAAATAAAAGATAATTGGTTTTGTTGGCGAATAGAAGCTTTATCGGATTTTTGATTAAAAGCGTAAACCAACGGCTTATGGTCGGTAACAATTTTGCAATCACTGAAATAAAGAAAATGCTTGAAATATTTGGCTGATTCGAACATAGCTGTTAGTTCTCTATCGTAGGTACTGTAACGCTTCTAAGTAGGAGTGAATCCTCGCGAGAAGAATGCTAAAGGTTTCCAATTACCGTTTTGCCATTGCTCTAACGCTGCTCCCATGCCCGTATCGGATGCATCCGTAACAAGTCGTATCGGAGCATCCGGAGCAGGGTGAGCAAGAAGAACTGCGTTGGCAATATTTCTACGAATTGTTTCGAAAGCCTCAATTGCCTCGGAATTCCAATCAATCTTCCTACGATCATTTTTACGGGACTCGTGCAGAAAAGCGTTCAGAGGTTCTGAGCCTTTGCAGCTTGTGGTAAACTTCGGCGATAAAAATTTACGAGGCCGAGAAAACGTCGCAACTCTACTATTGTTTCCGGTCTGGAAAAATCGCGAATAGCCTTCACTTTATCATCCAAAGGTCTAATTTCATCCTTACTAACCTTAAAACCGAGAAATTCAACTTCCGATATACCAAATATACACTTCTCTAAATTTAGTCTCAATGAAAAATCTTTTAACCGTTCAAAAACTTCGCGTAGGTGTTTTTTATGTTCTTCAGGTCCAGAGGAGGCAATAAGAATATCATCTATATAAACAAATATATATTCTAATCCCTTAAGTGACTCATTGATATAACGTTGAAACGTTTGAGCAGCGTTTCTCAAACCAAATGTCATAACTAAAAATTCGAAAGTCCTGAAAGGTGTTGTAACCGCTGTTTTTGGTATATGTTCTGGATCGATTGGTATTTGATTATAGGCCGCAAACAAATCTAACTTCGAAAAAATTGTCTTTCCAAATAAATTAGCTGTGAAATCCTGCAAGTAAGGTATCGAATAAGTATCCGGATGAGTCTGTGCGTTTACCCGACGATAATCGCCACAAGCTCTCCATCCTCCGTCTTTTTTTGGAGCAAGGTGCAACGGTGATGCCCAAGAACCACTCGCGGGTCTACATAAACCAGCCTCGGACCAAACTCGTTTTTATGGGCAAATTATTTGCGGCATAAATTACAAAGTTTGACGATTGAATGTTGGTTCTACCATTGTATGGTAAAAGGGAAATGTCTGATCCCGTGTCGACCAAAAATTGCTGTCCCGATGAACGATCCTTAACGAAAAGTCTCTTCAATTGAATAGCATCCTGAATAGAGTCAGTATGCTGCGTTTTTTTAGATTGCTGCGGCGTATTTAGTTTTTGAATCTGATTTATTTTCTCAAGAACATGGTGGTCTACATTTTTTTGCATCTTTTCCGAACTTCTCATGAAAATAACACTTATCGTTAGAATTTCTGCTTGAAGAACGGTCTCGCGATTTACTATTACGACGTTGGTTGTTATTTCGATTTCGTGATTTCGAACGGGAACGATAATTATTTTGATAATGTGGTTTAGTTGTTAAAGCCTCGACCTTAGCCGTTAAATCATCAATTCTCTTAATCAACTCATTGTCAACCGAAACTGAAGCTACATGATGTTCGAAAGGATTAGTATGAGCTACAACTTTATCCGCTATTAACGCTAATCGCGAAACATCATGCAATTCCGATAATGCCAAAATTGCACGACAACTAGGTGGTAGTTGTTCTAAAAATATCGCTTTAATAATTTCTTCACCGCAACGTCCGCGACTTAAATGACGAATTTTACTCAGGATTAATGAAGGTTTTCCTTCCGAAAATATTTGACCTTTGAGGATTGTACGTAATTCCGCTTCCGGAGAAACTGAAAAATTGGCAATAATTCGGTTCTTAATTTGCGTATATAAATCTCTAATCGGAGGATTCGCGCTCAAAAGATCACCGATAGTTTGTACCACTTCGAAATCCAGTGCTGAAATAATTGCTCCTGCTCGCGCACGTTCGCTTGTAATCCTGGCATATTCTAAACCCAATTCAGCTTGTGTAAACCAAAGACTCGGGTCTGATCTAAAGAAACCGGGTAATTTAACGTCCCTATAATTAACACCGCTTCCCAAAGTTGAACCGGAGTATTAAAACCGATAAATCCCGAATCCTTGTTCTTTTCAACTTTACCCGTCATTTTGGAAAGAAATTCGTATCCAAAGAATAGTATGAATGAGAAAAAAATAATATATTGACTTTAAATTTAAAAAAAATATTTTGTAAGTCACTCGAAAATTCGCATCCGTCCAAACTCGAAAATATTAGTTAAGTTTTTCTTTTTAAATGAAAATAATTGAATTTAAAATTTGTTGTCGAGAAAAATTTTTTTTAGAAAATTCACAATTCTGTCAATATATTAAATTAATTCGCATTAATGGTAAGCATTCGATAAATCTTGGTGATTGTAACAAAGTTTGAAATTACGAAATAGAACAATAATAATCCAAAACAAGTGAATATCAAATTGTCTATAAATATCGGTGTTGACAAAACAATACGCATTTTGAATACACTAATCTTCAATAAACTTGCAAATTTTCTCAAAAATAAAATTTAAAATAAATTTTGAAATCTTGAAATAATATCTCACTGAATAGTAAGAAAAATAATTTTCAAAAATAGACGATAAAAAAATTTTTTAATTTTAATTTTCTTTTTTTTAAATAAATTCTTTATGTAAAAAAAAATTTTTAGTTTAGTTTTTTACTTTATAGAATGAAAAAAATGCCAAAATTAAAAAAAAAATTAGTTAAGACTTACGACCATAAAAAACGCTAAAACACAAAGACAGGTTACAAATAGGCTGAAAATTGCGAAGCTTCCAATGTTGGTGATATGACAGGTTAAGAAGATGGTGATTTGCATCCAATTGTCCTCTGCGATGATCTATAACCTCGTCGGTGAGATATGTGATGTTCGATTCAAATTCCAGGAATTTCTGCCACTCTGATCAGCAGTCTCGTTGCTCGTTGACAATGGTCATGTTGTTGACTCCCCGGGGATGGTTTAAGTCAGGAACAAATAAAAAGAAAGACTTATCAGGCGACGGGAAACAGCTCGAAAACTGTTAGATTGCTAAAGGTAAGAAGAAAAATTCGTATACCTGTTGCATGGGCTGGAGTATTATGCCCATGCGCCGTTTTTAAAAGCATCCAAAAAATAAAATCGACAGGAACTCGCCAACTCGATCGGAGTAACCACAAGATCCAGTTGTGAGGAAGGATAGTTGCCGGAAACTGTCATCACCAAAAGCTGCAAAAAATAGTCAGCAGGACGGCACGATGCATTTTAATATTTGTCAGCATTGATAAAATTTCGAGGATCTTAGCGAGTGCGGAAAAATCCTCATGGTATATTATAGTTGTTCAGCACTTTTCAAATACATGAAAAAATTTTGAATTTTTTCTCCAAATACTTGTGAAAAATCGTGGAAATTATTTTTTTGTTTTTAATTTTATCCAAAAAATCGTTGGATGTTCATTTTATTCGATGATAATTTCCGATGAAAATTTTAACCCGACATGTAATCGACTGAATATTATAAATGGCGTCGATTTTTAAACATCACGTCGGGGTCACCAATGTGGGAATTTACTATTTAAATATTTATATTTTCAATCAGAAGGGTTTCCCACTTAGCGTGTTCATTCAAATAACTTTAAAACACCAAATATTATAACTCAACAATTTATTTATATAATATTAACTCGTGAATCTCGTAGCAACCTATTCTTCACGATGAAAATACACGAATGTCAATTGATAGCGGCGATTCACAGCCATTCTTCGTGTCAAACCGAAGCGACGACGACGAAAGAACATTGTCCTGGCAAAAGGGTTTGAATCTTTTAAACATCGAGTCGAGTGAATCTGGTGATGTGATACAACAAATAAAAGAATCGAAACTCAGTCCTATTCCGAAAAAACGGTTCAAGATAAATTTTACCGAAGAGCAACGCAGCGAAAATATATCTCAAGGTGGTATACTGTCGACGAGTGAACAGGATCAAAGCAATCACGAGGAGTCTGATATGCAACAAGCAATATTTGAATCAGTTACCACGTACGCGACTAAAGAAGAGAGAAAATCGCTGACCAGTGGATTTAAAGTGCCACAACCGTTGTCGACGCCAAGTAAAATTATCAACGAACCGTTACCGTCAACAAGCAGACAAGCACGAACGTTGGCCCCACTCAAGAGGTTAGCCACGCCCCAAGTATTTAGGGCACCGCACACCAGACGAGTGTTGACTCCGCTCGAGAGCTTAGCAGCGAACCTAGCCCTGTCATCGGACAGCGACGACGACGTTTTGGAGATCGTCATCTCTGGTGACGATTCCGAATTAAAGCCGAGACAGCGTCCCCCGGCTGCTGCAGTCAAAGATCTGTATGAGCAGTTATGGGGGACGGCTGGTCCGGAAAACAACATCACTTATAATATTGAGCGAGCTCTGATTGCGGGCGTCATGCCACCCATCACAGTGGATGATGTCCGTAAGAGGCTGCGTCGTTGCAATAAGAAATCCGCTCCTGGCATC